GCATGTGTGGATGATTAGTAGAGTCAGATGGAAACAGGAAGAGGACACGCGTCCCTCTCTGCATATTCATCTGTCCTTTTGTTCCCTCTATTCACTCAGCCCCTCTCTGCGGTCTCTCTCTGCTCTCTGTCCACTTTCTCTCTGTCCTCTCTGCGTGCCAGCAGTCATCCTCTCCCTCTCTGTCCGCTACTGAACTGCATCTCCCTCCACTCCTCCTCTCCATCCCAGATGGACGAGTGAACCTCTGTAGTAAAATTAACTTTGAGATAAACGAGGCTGTGGCAGTTTTGCGCATGCAGTTTGACACTCTGCCAAAAATGCAGTGAAGGTTATGTCTTGATCTATATACTGCCAAGACACTTCACTTTTGTGACTTACAACTTCTTAAATGATGCTCGGGTGTCTATAAAGAAACAATTCTTCTAGGTGCCAAGAAAGAGATTTCCATTTAAATACAGACAGAGAGGAGGCAGCGGGGCAAGGTAGAAGATGAAGTGACTGTCCCATTACAGCACATCGAGGTTTGAACCTTTAAAGAGGACACCGAGCCATGTACTTAGACAGACATCTCATCTTTAGATATAGAAAAGTCAAGATGTGACAGTGCCAACTTTCAATGTAAAGTAATAGTACTGCATATCTACCTATGATATCTACATTAAAGTGGATTAAAGCAGGGAAAACAGCTGTTGTTTTTGTCTTTTTTAACCTCTCTATATGTTGATTAATGTATTGCTGTTGCAGTGCGTGTAGCTTTCTTCATATACGAGTGGTTTTTCCAGTGTGTGCCTTTGCTGTAGTCTCTCGACTGTCGGTGGATGTTTTTGTGGGTAGCGATCTGATGGGGATTTGGCATACATGCTTATGTGGTAGGAACTAAAAGCAAGTTAATTGTTCCCTGAGGAAACATTCAAAAAGGCCGGACCACTTTAGAATTATGGGCTGAAGATGAAAATGCAGATTTCTTTTTTTCCTCTTGTCAATGACTTTTTCCCCATCAACGATTTTTCCTGTGAGTTATTACTGCGGAATCAGACACTAGAGCTGTGTGTGTGTGTGTGTGTGTGTGTGTGTGTGTGTGTGTGTGTGTGTGTGTGTGTGTGTGTGTGTGTGTGTGTGTGTGTGTGTGTGTGTGTGTGTGTGTGTGTGTGTGTGTGTGTGTGTGTGTGTGTGTGTGTGTGTGTGTGTGTGTGTGTGTGTGTGTGTGTGTGTGTGTGTGTGTGTGTGTGTGTGTGTGTGTGTGTGTGTGTGTGTGTGTGTGTGTGTGTGTGTGTGTGTGTGTGTGTGAGAAAATACCTTGTTTGTGTGTTGGATCTGTGTATTTATAAAAGGGCCTTTTTTTTGCCAGTCTTACATCACAATATTTGACAGATTTACGATAAATGTCTTCAAACATTTAATTAAATGAGGTCTGCGTGCATGTTTTCCAATAATCCTACTTCATGCTATGTAATTAACTCTGCATATACTTTAACTTAATTGCTCTAGGAAGAGATATGCTGTTAAAGAACAAACAATATGCTCTGCCTATAGCTAAGACTACATAATTACGCCAATCAGATAGATTTACCTTCAACGCAGACACAGAAAACTAAATGAACAAGTTTCTGTTAACAGGGTTTGTAACTCCTTCGTGTCAATACTGCGGCTGCTCGTTTGTGAATTATTAATTGCCAGTTATTGTGTTATTGCTCCAGGATATTGTCTCTCAGACTGTATCTGTGGCGTTGTTCCCCTCCTCACAAGACGGGTGAAAGTGATATCTTCTAATGATTGCCCTCTCATTCTCCCCTCGCCCCCACCCTTCCTCGCTGTCTTTCAGTAAATGAGGGAAAGTGATATGGTTCTCTAATGACCAGTGTGAATAATCACAATCTAAATAAAGGCCCTGTTTGGTGGTAGAAATCTCCCAGTCTGTCTCTCTCTGACTTTCTCATCCTCCACTGTCCCATTAGCTGAGGAACATACTTCTCCAGCCTTGTCTCTCTTTGTTAATTTCACACCTCTAACTCTACTTATTTGTTATTATCACTACCAGTCTCTGCCGAGTGCTGTCCCTCTTTCATCAATGAGTATTTAGGTTTTGTTGTTTTTTGTCCCATGCTTTCCTCCACCTCAAAACAGATGGTCCATCTTTTATGTGCTTGTCAGTTTTCACATCCCTAGTCCATTACAGCTGTTAGGTGTGCGCGTGTATTTTTCTCTCCACAGATCAGAGAGGAGCTCAAATTGACATCCATTTGGGTTGCGCGTTTAGCTTTTATATCCTCAGCCGGGAGTGAACGGTGAGAGCAACCGGAAGACATGAAAGAGTAGGAGAGTGCTGGGGAGATAAAAGAAAAGCACTAGAAAAACCTCGCTGTCTGTCCGCACGTTTATTTTGTGCTTACTAAAGTTCTTATTCTCGCACGTTCTCTCTCTCTCTCTCTCTCTCTCTCTGCGTTCGGGTGAGGAGGAGCTGAGTTATTAAAACGCCAACCTTTCCAACAAGAGGCAATAAATCAAACTAAATATCCAGGGGAGAGAGAGAACAGAGAGACAGGAGAGAGAGAGACAGAGAGAACATGGAAATGAAAAATAGGGAATGGATAAGTCTAGAAGGGGGATTTGATGAACAGAAGGCTTGGGAAAGTGGGAGAGGAGACGCAATGAGAGAGCGGTATTATAAATTGATGTGGGGGATGAGAGCAGGAGAAAGTATTGAGGAAAATAATGAGGGACTCATCCGGCTGTTCTGATGCCTGCCCCCCCTCATCCACTCTGATTACAGACAGACAGGCCGGCCAATCAGGGTTAACTCACTATCACAGTCAGTCAGTGAGCCACTGATTTTTCTAGGCAACTGTAAATGTATCCGTATAGTTTGTGACGAATGTGACTCTTAACAAAATGCAGTTATGGAGACAAAAGTAGGTAGGAGGATGGATGGATGTCAGACCTAAGTGTGATGATGATGATGAAGGGATTATCAGAGAGGAGCTGTATGTGAATCCTCAGCAAAACCCTCATCCCATCTGGACCAGGAAATGATAGCCAAAGAGAAATTAAAGTAGGCCTACATTAAACTCTGCACATCTACTCCAACTAAAAATCAAGAATCATGGCCAGTGAACACTGACTCACAATACAGATGCTGTGTCCTGAATCCATTCACTAAAATTGAATATACTAAATAATTTTCGTAACAGTAGGCCTATAGGGATTTTCGGTTTACCAGAATTGACCCTAGTTTGCCATTTTATAAAAACAGGAAGTTATTCAATGTTCAACTAACCTGCCACTTAAGAATCAATCTGCCATTTTAACTTCTCTAAAAGAACGTTTTTTAAAAATAAATGTTATAAGATCCTTTTGAAGCTCTCTCTGTAATTTTCTTCAAAGTTGTGCAGCGTGATTAGCTCCTTTGTGCATCCACCTCAAACTAAAAAATCAGGCACTTTTCAGCGTGCACATAACAATTTCATGTACATGTAATTTTGTCACTCTTTCATGTGAAAAAGCTCAATACATGCTTATTATTGGTGTATATTATGGATTTAGGACTAGGCTATTTTGTCAGATTTGACGACAACAAAAGTAATACATCGAACCAGACTTCCAGCTTCACTTCAGCCTGAATAAAGACATAAAAACCAACCACTTGACCAATAAGAAAATTCAATTAAAATAATTTAAAAAGAAGATTCATTGTTGTCTGGTTCCTCTATTTTCTTTTGTAGATTTAGCTGAAATTGGAATCGATAGGACAGTTTTTTTATAGTTTTTTGACATTTCATTGAATAAACATTGAATCAAAAAAGTAAATTCTAGATTCGTGCATAGTACAAATACATTTTTACAGCCGGGCTGTAATAATAATAATAAACTTTATTTGTATACCACTTTCCAAAAACGGCAGTTCCAAAGAGCTTCACAGTTATGGATAAAAGTGTATAATAGTACAAAGTATGATTCTTAACAATAAAAGCAACATAACAGACAAACGGCATTAAAATAGTAATTATACTAAAATGAAATTTTAAAAAAACCTTATAAGACTACTATTATAGATGGTGTTTTAAAACTTTTAAATGTATGTATAGAGAGAGTATACAAACCAGTTGTTTTTACATGCTGTGTCATTACGCTTACTGTATGTAAGTATGACATATGTATAATGTTGAAAACTGTGCATACCATGATCCTGGCAATGAGGACACTTTAAATGGCAGTCAGAGGAGGTACAGAGGGACGCAGGACAGAAGAGGCGGTCTGAGCGTGACTTTGGTTTTCAGGTTATTTGGTTAAATGGTTTAAACCTTTTTAAGTGGCTGTTTTTTTTATCCCTTCTTCGTCGTATGTTCCCTCTCTTTTCCCCATTTGTCGACTCATTTTGGAAGAGAGACATCAATCATAACTCAGAAATGAAGCGCATACACACTCATTATTCCACATGCTGTATATTATACAGTGGTCGTAGATGGACTCTGTGCTTGCGTGTGTTTTTTTCATCAAGAGTTTCATGAGACTTAGGGATTCAGGGGACGTGAAAGAGAGATGGAGCATTAAAGAGTCCTCTGTTCTGCATCTCTTCCCCCACTGGACCATGAGACGGGCTGTATTTCACTACATGCGTTTTTAAAATACAAAGCAATTATTATTTGCCAATGACTGTAATTTTTAACAAGCTTCCTCTAAGGACTATAATTGATATTTTCAACGTGTTTGACTTTATATTGTATATGTTTAGTATGTTATAGAACTCCGCAATGTTCCATATGTGTCCCTTTTAATAATTTACAAAATATTCATATACTTTCCTACAATTTGAGGCAAATATACCATTTTAAAGCTTTACACAAGGAATTTGACTTAGTGACTGAGGAAGTGGCTTATTGAAACACTATTAATGTCCATCTTTACATTAAACACGTTGAAATCCTGAGCAATTTATATTATGGAGAACGTTTACCCCTTGTATGAGTAAGAGCAGGTTTCTTAACTTCTGTTTGTTTGTTTAGACTTCAGGGTCTGAAGCAAGAGATGACCCTTAGAAACGCACTTGAAAGACAGTGGCATCATCCTAATGCTGTGAGCATGAAAAACAACGGGGAGTGCATGAAAACAAGACAATGAATAATGGAAAAGCAAATAAAGAGCATAAGCCAGAGACTGCGGTAAGGCTATTGTTTGCTATTCTATCAATTTTGAGGTTGTATTTTAAAATACAGAAATCCAGTTTTTTGAGTCAGTATTTTTCCTTCGGAGACATAGTCTAGCATTTATTTACATTTTACTGTGTAGTTTATCTCTTGGGTTTTCACACTAGCATGTACATTTTGGCCTCTTCATGCTCAACGATCGCAAAGAGATGTGGGTGGGACACACACACACATACACAGAGTACCATGTCATACACAGGAGGTAGCTGGCACTATATGCTGCTCCTAATTTAATCACGTATTACATTTCCTGGAGGATTAGTTTAGCCTGAGAGACCTGTAATTGCATGGGCTGTAACACAGTTGGTTTTTGTGCATCTGTGTAGTGTATTCATTGGTATGGAGAAGCTACGTATCAATAATTCATTTGTTTGTTGCTCAATCAGATACTCAGGAATCCATCCATCCCTTTTTCTCCCCTGCAGGGATTACAGGAGTTGTGGTGATGGGATATGCTGGTTTCACAGGAAATTAGCATGCTGCTGTTGTTGTGGCCAGCAGGTGTGTGCCACGATGGTTGCTGATGGGAGGCAGGATAACTCATGGTACTGGTTTTAATGGGTGCTGTTTGCAGGCTATCAACAGCCAGCTGAGTCCCAGCTGGCTGTTGATAGCTGAAGGGATTTCAACCTTTATGACCTGGGAGGGCGTGCGTTAATAATAAAATAAAAAAACCTGTGAAGGGCATCGCAAACTGCCAAGGAGGTTTTCAACAATAATGCCAGCTTTGTTAGTTGATGAAAGTATTGATCTATTTGCCCGCTGATTTGGACCTCTCCAAACTTCATTGGAAGTCAGCCTGGCATAATTTATGTTTATCCACTTTTTTATTTTGTTTATGTTATGAATGATAGTGTAGTTGGTGCGTTACATGCTATAGGTGCTCTGGGGTCACGTGGACATAACGGATAGGTAGACAGTAGCTTGTTAGGAGGCTGCAACTGTGAGCACGCTGTGACCTTTGACCTTCGTCTGGAGCTGCAAACAACAGCAAGAAGCTCACACCAAGTTCAGGCTGGGTCAAAGGTCAGTGAGCAAGAAGTAAATAGTAAATCCGATTACACTGCTTAACAACATTTTACAATTTTTACATTTGGTCATGATATATTGACTATTATTAGTCCAACACTGCTATTGGTTAAACAAATAGAGTAACAGCACAATCACTTAAAACAAATCTTTGTCTTTGACAAATGCTACACATACTGTACCCATTTTAGGAGACAGCTTGTGTCCAATGAAAATATTTGCCTATTTATAAATTAATTATTTTCTTCATGAGAGAAGGAATGATTGAATAAGTCATGTCACTTTTTTTGATGAATAAGAAACAGAGTATTTGATTTGTGAGTCTTCAAACGGGGGCTCTAGAATCTGCTTTTGTCCACGAAACTACTTATCATTTTGACCCAACGTAGGCAAGGCAAGTCAAGTTTATTTATACAGCACTTTTCAACACAAGGCAATTCAAAGTGCTTTACAAAAAATGAAAGACATTAAAGGTGGGGTAGGTAACTTTGAGAAACCGGCTCGAGATACATTTTTTGTTATATTCCATGGAATGCTCTTAACATCCCGATAGCAATGAATATCTGAAGTGCTTTGACAAAAAATCCATACAAAAATGTCATCTGTGGAAGCCTGTAAAAAGCACGACCAATCCGTTTAGCCGATTGCCGCCCTGTCTGTCAGCCTTCCATCTCGTGCACGCACAAATGTATCTCGTGCCCTCATTGGGCGTGCCGTCATTGGGCGTGCATTGCAGCAGTACTTCAATGACTCGCCAGCAACAGGCGGCCACTTTCACCAGTCTGCTGATGTCATGTGCGCGTTCATGTGTGTTGGAGGAGGTGCTCTGGAAGGAAATCTGAAGGAAGGGGCGGATTCTTCTCGGCTGTGTACTTTCAAATTTTAGTGCACTCGAACCGGTTTCTGAAACTTACCTACCCCACCTTTAAGAAAATGGCATTTAAAATCAGTCATTAAAAAGAAAAGCTAATAAAATAAACATTAACAGAAAAAGTACATGGATAAAAGTTACAGTGCAGTCTAAGATATGAATAGTTCAATTAAAAGCAGCGACAAAAAGAAAAGTCTTCAGCCTGGATTTAAAATTAGTCAGAGTTGCAGCGGACCTGCAGGTTTCTGGGAGTTTGTTCCAGATATTTGGAGCATAATAACTGAACGCTGCTTCTCCATGTTTAGTTCTGACTCTGGGGACAGAAAGCTGACCAGTCCCTGAAGACCTGAGAGATCTGGATGGTTCATAATTTAGCAGGAGGTCAGAAATGTATTTTGGGCCTAAACCATTCAAAACTTTATAAACCAGCAGCAGCATTTTGAAATATATTCTTTGACACACAGGAAGCCAGTGTAAAGACTTCAGAATAGGAGTGATGTGATCCACTTTCTTAGTGTTAGTGAGGACTCGAGCAGCGGCGTTCTGAATTAGCTGCAGCTTTCTAATAGATTTTTTAGTGAGACCTGCAAAGACACCATTGCAGTAGTCGAGTCTACTGAAGATAAAAGCATGGACAAGCTTTTCCAAATCCTGCTGTGACATTAGTCTTTTAATCCTAGATATGTTCTTTAGGTGATAGTAGGCTGATTTAGTCACTGTTTTAATGTGACTGTTGAAACTCAGGTCAGAGTCCATGACTAACCCTAGATTTCTGGCTTTATCTGTTGTTTTGAACATTGCAGACTGAAGCTCAGCGCTAACTTTTAAACGTTCTGCCTTGGCTCCAAAAACCATTACCTCAGTTTTATCTTTGTTTAATTGGAGAAAGTTCTGACACATCCAGTAATTGATTTGTTCAATGCACTTACTCAGTGTTTGAATTGAAGCATAGTCTCCTGGTGAAATTGTTACGTAAATGTGTGTGTCATCTGCATAGCTATGGTAACTTATTTTGTTGTTCTTCATTATCTGAGCCAGTGGTAGCATGTAGATGTTAAAGAGAAGAGGCCCCAAGATGGAGCCTTGAGGTACCCCACATGTCATATTTGTCAACTCAGATGTGTATTTACCTATAGAAACAAAGTTGTTTCTGTCCTTTAAGTAGGATTCAAACCAATTTAGAACTGTTTCCGAAAGTCCCACCCAGTTTTCCAGTCGGTCTAGTAATATGTTGTGGTCAACAGTGTCAAACGCAGCACTGAGATCTAATAATACTAACACTGAAGTTTTGCCACTGTCTGTGTTTAAGTGGATGTCATTGAAGACCTTTACAAGAGCAGTCTCAGTGCTGTGGTTTGGACGAAAGCCTGACTGGAACACATCGAAACAGTTATTTAAATGCAAGAAATTACTCAACTGTTGAAAAACAACTTTTTCAATGATTTTACCTAGAAATGGGAGGTTTGATATGGGCCTGTAATTGTTCATTACTGAAGAATCTAGATTATTCTTTTTTAAGAACGGTTTAATGACTGCAGTTTTCAGGGCCTGTGGAAAAATACCTGAGTGAAGAGATTTGTTTACTATATGAAGTAGATCTGAGGCCATGCAAGGCAAAACATCTTTGAAAAATCCTGTTGGAATAATATCAAGGCAGCAGGAGGAGGATTTCAGAAGTTGAATAATGTCCTCTAGGTTTTTATCATTAATCTGATGGCATTGTGTCATGGTGTTTGAATTGATGTTAAGTGGACACAGAGACAACACATTTGCTGTTCCTGATGCAGAGGCACTGACTGCTTGTCTGATTTTCTGAATTTTGTCAGTGGAGAAGGAGGTAAAATCATTGCAGGGCGGTGGATAGAAGGAGGTAAAATCATTGTAGGGCGGTGGATAGAAATTCAGAGGCTACTGACACTGGGGGGTTAGTTAGTCTGTAGACGGTAACAAACAAGGCACGTGCGTTTTTTTGTTTTGGTAATGATGTCAGAGAAGAACGATTGTTGTGCATTTTTCAATTCCAAATTATAAAGGCCAAGTCTCTCTTTATAGATTTCAAAGTGAACCTGGAGATTTGTTTTTCGCCACCTGCGTTCAGCTTTTCGACATTCTCTTTTTTCTGTTTTCACGCTCATGGCCTTTCTCCATGGAGATATTTTCTTGCCAGACACTTCCTTTACCTTTGGAGCAATGGCATCTATAACATTTTTAATTTTTTAATTAAAATGATCTACTAGCTCATTTACTGAGATGTTAGCAGGGGCAAGTGTGGAAGAAAAATTCTGAGTAAACATTTCCCTAGTATTTTCTTATACTAGGGAAAACTTATCAAAATTATATTATCTTTGGGTACAAACAAAACTGTCTTGAAGAAATAAACGGTGCTGATGGGCCTTGTTAGGGAGCTGACCATAAACTGTGATGCCCTCAGTTTGAGTCGGTCCTGGGATTATTGTTGCATTTTTGTCACTATTACACTGAACAAAAATATAAATGCAACACTTTTGTTTTTGCTCCCATTTTTCATGAGATGAACTCAAAGATCTAAAACATTTTCTATATACACAAAATAACCATTTCTCTCAAATATTGTTTACAAATCTGAAAAAATCTGTGATAGTGAGCACTTCTCCTTTGCCGAGATAATCCATCCCACCTCACAGGTGTGGCATATCAAGATGCTGATTAGACAGCATGATTATTGCACAGGTGTGCCTTAGGCTGGCCACAATAAAAGGCCACTCTGAAACGTGCAGTTTTACTTTATTGGGGGGGGTCTAGGGGGGTCCGAAAACCAGTCAGTATCTGGTGTGACCACCATTTGCCTCACGCAGTGCAACACATCTCCTTCGCATAGAGTTGATCAGGTTGATGATTGTGGCCTGTGGAATGTTGGTCCACTCCTCTTCAATGGCTGTGCCAAGTTGCTGGATATTGGCTGGAACTGGAAGACGCTGTCGTATACGCCGATCCAGAGCATCCCAAACATGCTCAATGGGTGACATGTCCGGTGAGTATGCTGGCCATGCAAGAACTGGGATGTTTTCAGCCTCCA